TACAACAACAGTTCCCTCCACCAGTATTACAACCACAGTTCCTTCCACCAGTATTACAACCACAGTGTCCTCCACCAGTATTACAACAACAGTTCCCTCCACCAGTATTACAACCACAGTGTCCTCCACCAGTATTACAACAACAGTGCCCTCCACCAGTATTACAACCACAGTGCCCTCCATCAGTACTACAACCACAGTGCCCTCCACCAGTATTACAACAACAGTTCCCTCCACCAGTATTACAACCACAGTTCCTTCCACCAGTATTACAACCACAGTGTCCTCCACCAGTACTACAACCACAGGGCCCTCCACCAGTACTACAACCACAGTGCCCTCCACCAGTATTACAACAACAGTTCCCTCCACCAGTATTACAGCCACAGTTCCTTCCACCAGTATTACAACCACAGTGTCCTCCACCAGTCCTACACCCACAGTGTCCTCCACCAGTACTACAACCACAGTGTCCTCCACCAGTACTACAACCACAGTGTTCTCCACCAGTACTAAAACCACAGTGTCCTTCACCAGTACTAAAACCACAGTGTCCTCCACCAGTTCTACAGCCACAGTGCCGTCCACCAGTACTACAACCACAGTGCCCTCCACCAGTATTACAACCACAGTGCCCTCCACCAGTACTACAACCACAGTTCCCTCCACCAGTATTACAACCACAGTTTCTTCCACCAGTATTACAACCACAGTGTCCTCCGCCAGTACTAAAACCACAGCGTTCTCCACCAGTACTACAACCACAGTGCCCTCCACCAGTACTACAACCACAGTGCCCTCCACCAGTATAACAACCATAGTGTCCTCCACAAGTGACAAACACAGTGCCCTCCACCAGTCCTACAACCACAGTGTCCTCCACCAGTACTAAAACCACAGTGCCCTCCACCAGTCCTACAACCAGAGTGTCCTCCACCAGTACTACAACCACAGTGCCCTCCACCAGTACTACAACCACAGTGTCCTCCACCAGTACTACAACCACAGTGTCCTCCACCAGTACTACAACCACAGTATCCTCCACCAGTACTACAACCACAGTGTCCTCCATCAGTACTACAACCACAGTGTCCTCCACCAGTATTACAACCACAGCGTTCTCCACCAGTACTACAACCACAGTGCCCTCCACCAGTACTACAACCACAGTGTCCTCCACCAGTACTACAACCACAGTGTCCTCCGCCAGTACTAAAACCACAGCGTTCTCCACCAGTACTACAACCACAGTGTCCTCCACCAGTACTACAACCACAGTGCCCTCCACCAGTCCTACAACCACAGTGTCCTCCACCAGTACTACAACCACAGTGCCCTCCACCAGTACTACAACCACAGTGTCCTCCACCAGTACTACAACCACTGTGTCCTCCACAAGTACTACAACCACAGTGTCCTCCACCAGTATTACAACCACAGTGTCCTCCACCAGTCCTACAACCACAGTGTCCTCCACCAGTACTACAACCACAGTGACCTCCACCAGTCCTACAACCACAGTGTCCTCCACCAGTACTACAACCACAGTGTCCTCCACCAGTACTACAACCACAGTGCCCTCCACCAGTATTACAACCACAGTGCCCTCCACCAGTCCTACAACCACAGTGTCCTCCACCAGTACTACAACCACAGTGTCCTCCACCAGTATTACAACCACAGTGTCCTCCACCAGTCCTACAACCACAGTGTCCTCTACCAGTACTACAACCACAGTGTCCTCCACCAGTACTACAACCACAGTGCCCTCCACCAGTCCTACAACCACAGTGTCCTCCACCAGTACTACAACCACAGTGTCCTCCACCAGTACTACAACCACAGTGCCCTCCACCAGTCCTACAACCACAGTGTCCTCCCCAGTACTACAACCACAGTGACCTCCACCAGTACTACAACCACAGTGTCCTCCACCAGTACTACAACCACTGTGTCCTCCACCAGTACTACAACCACAGTGTCCTCCACCAGTATTACAACCACAGTGTCCTCCACCAGTCCTACAACCACAGTGTCCTCCACCAGTACTACAACCACAGTGCCCTCCACCAGTACTACAACCACAGTGTCCTCCACCAGTACTACAACCACTGTGTCCTCCACCAGTACTACAACCACAGTGTCCTCCACCAGTATTACAACCACAGTGCCCTCCACAAGTACTACAACCACAGTGTCCTCCACCAGTCCTACAACCACAGTGTCCTCCACCAGTACTACAACCACAGTGCCCTCCAACAGTCCTACAACCACAGTGCATTCCAACAGTCCTACAACCACAGTGTCCTCCACCAGTACTACAACCACAGTGCCCTCCACCAGTGCTACAACCACAGTGTCCTACACCAGTACTTCAACCATAGTGTCCTCCACCAGTACTACAACCACAGTGTCCTCCACCAGTACTACAACCACAGTGTCCTCCACCAGTACTACAACCACAGTGTCCTCCACCAGTACTAAAACCACAGTGTCCTCCACCAGTACTACAACCACAGTGTTCTCCACCAGTACTACAACCACAGTGTCCTCAACCAGTACTACAACCACAGTGTCCTCCACCAGTATTACAACCACAGTGCTCCACCAGTACTACATTACAGCAACAATAGTTGAAGTGTACAACCTCAACTCTGATCATAACCTCAAAAACCACAGTGTCCTCCACCAGTCCTACAACCACAGTGTACTCCACCAGTACTACAACCACAGTGTCCTCCACCAGTACTACAACAACAGTGTCCTCCACCAGTACTACAACCACAGTGTCCTCCACCAGTACTACAACAACAGTGTCCTTCACCAGTACTACAACCACAGTGTCCTCCACCAGTACTACAACAACAGTGTCCTCCACCAGTACTACAACCACAGTGTCCTCCACCAGTACTACAACTACAGTGCCCTCCACCAGTATTACAACCACAGTGCTCTCCACCAGTACAACTACAGTGCCCTCCACCAGTATTACAACAAAAGTTCCTTCCACCAGTATTACAACCACAGTGCCCTCCACCAGTACTACAACCACAGTGCCCTCCACCAGTATTACAACAACAGTTCCCTCCACCAGTATTACAACCACAGTGTCCTCCAACAGTATTACAACAACAGTTCCCTCCACCAGTATTACAACCACAGTGTCCTCCACCAGTATTACAACAACAGTGCCCTCCACCAGTATTACAACCACAGTGCCCTCCATCAGTACTACAACCACAGTGCCCTCCACCAGTATTACAACAACAGTTCCCTCCACCAGTATTACAACCACAGTTCCTTCCACCAGTATTACAACCACAGTGTCCTCCACCAGTACTACAACCACAGTGCCCTCCACCAGTACTACAACCACAGTGCCCTCCACCAGTATTACAACAACAGTTCCCTCCACCAGTATTACAGCCACAGTTCCTTCCACCAGTATTACAACCACAGTGTCCTCCACCAGTCCTACAACCACAGTGTCCTCCACCAGTACTACAACCACAGTGTCCTCCACCAGTACTACAACCACAGTGTCCTTCACCAGTACTAAAACCACAGTGTCCTCCACCAGTTCTACAGCCACAGTGCCGTCCACCAGTACTACAACCACAGTGCCCTCCACCAGTATTACAACCACAGTGCCCTCTACCAGTACTACAACCACAGTTCCCTCCACCAGTATTACAACCACAGTTTCTTCCACCAGTATTACAACCACAGTGTCCTCCACCAGTACTACAACCACAGTGTCCTCCACCAGTATTACAACCACAGTTTCTTCCACCAGTATTACAACCACAGTGCCCTCCACCAGTCCTACAACCACAGTGTCCTCCACCAGTACTACAACCACAGTGCCCTCCACCAGTACGACAACACCAGTGCCTTCCATCAGTAGTACAACCACAGTGCCCTCCACCAGTACTACAACCGTAGTGCCCTCCACCAGTATTACAACCACAGTACCCTCCATCAGTATTTCAACCACAGTGTCCTCCACCAGTATTACAACCACAGTGTCCTCCACCAGTATTAAAACCACAGTACCCTCAACCAGTATTACAACCACAGTGTCCTCCACCAGTACTAAAACCACAGTACCCTCCACCAGTATTACAACCACAGTGCCCTCCGCCAGTACTACAACCCCAACGCCCTCCATCAGTACTACAACCACAGTTTCCTCCACTAGTACTACAACCACAGTGCCCTCCATACTATTACAAGCACAGTGCCCTCCAGCAGTACTACAATCACAGTGCCCTCCACCAGTACTACAACCACAGTGCCTTCCAACAGTACTACAACCACAGTTCCCTCCTCTAGTACTACAACCACAGTGCCCTCCATAACTACTACAACCACAGTGCCCTCAACCAGTACTATAACCACAGTGCCCTCCACAAGTACTACAACCACAGTGCCCTCCACCAGTACTACAACCACAGTGCCCCCATAACTCCTACAACCACAGTGCCCCCCATAACTCCTACAACCAAAGTGCTCTCCACCAATACTACAACCAGTGTCCTCCACCACTATAACAACAGCGTCCTCCACCATAATAACCACAGTGTCCACCACCATAACCACAGTATCCTCCACCACTATAACAACAGTATCTTCCACCACTATAACCACAGTGTCCTCCACCACTATAACCACAGTGTCCTAAACCACTATAACCAGAGTGTCCTCCACAACTATAACCACAGTGTCCTCCATCACGATAACCACAGTGTCCTCCACTACTATAACCACAGTGTCCTCCACCACTATAACCAGAGTGTCCTCCACCACTATAACCACAGTGTCGCCCACCACAATAACCACAGTGTCCTCCACCACTATAACCACAGTGTCCTCCACTACTATAATCTCAGTGTCCTCCACTAATATTTTCTCAACAATCCTTTCAGTTACATCTATTTCAACCTCAGTAGTAAATGAATCAACCTTCCTTCACTTATTCCAGTCTTCCACTTCCTCAGCAGGTGCTGAGTCGACATCAAACTCCTCCAGCACTACACCAGAATCAACAGAATCCACGTTCCTCCACTCTTCCACCACGCCAGCTGGTACTGAATCGACCTTCAACTCTTCCTCCTCCACATCAATAGCAACTGAATCGACCTTCCTCTCCTCCACCACTTCAGCACCCACTGAATCGACCTTCCACCCATCTTCTACCTCTTCAGCAGCCACCGAATCGACCTTCAACCCCTCCTCCACATCAGAAACTGAATCGACCGCCCTTTCGTCCTCCACCTCAGCAGCAAATGAGTCCACCTCACGCCTGTTCTCCACCTCAACAGCAACTAAGTCGACCTTCCTCTCCGTTTCCACCACGCCAGAGGGTACTGAATCGATATTCAACTCCTCTTCCACATCAGAAGGAAATGAATCGACATTCCTCGCTTCCTCCACCACGTCAGGACCAACTGAGTCGACCTTCCTTACCTCCTTCACAACAACAGGAAGTGAGTCGACTTTCCTCGCCTCTTCCACCACGCCAGCACCCGCTGAATCGACCTTCCACACCTCATCCTCTACATCCCCAACTGAGTCGACTTTCCTGCTCTCCTCCACCTCAACAGCAACTGAGTCGACCGTCCTCCCTTCCTCCACCACCTCAGCAGCTGCAGAGTCAACGTCTCTCTCCTCCTTTACTACATCAGCAGCAACAGAATCTTCCTTCTTTCCCTCTTCCACCACGTCAGCACTCACTGAATCGACCTTCAATCCCTCATCCTCCACAACAGCAACTGAGTCGACCTTTTTCCAATCCTCCACCTCCTCAGCAGCAGGTGAATCGACATCACACCACTCCTTCACTACTTCAGCTGCAACTGAGTCCACTTTCCTCCCCTCTTCCACTACATCACAACCCATTGAATCGACCTTCCACTCTTCCTCTACCACTTCAGCAGTCACTGAATCGACCTTCCACCCCTCTTCCACATCAGAAGGAACTGTGTCGACCCTGCTGCCCTCTTTCACTACGTCACCAGTGACTGAATCGACCTTCCACACCTCCTCCTCCACATCAGCAGCTGAGTCAACCTCACATCACTCTTTCACTACCTCAGGAGCAACTGAGTCCACTTTCCTCCCATCTTCAACTACATCAGCACCCACTGAATCGAGCTTCCACCCCTCCTCCTCCACTTCAGCAACTGAGTCGACCTTATTCCAGTCTTCCACTTCCTCAGCAGGTGCTAATTCGACATCATTCCCCTCCTTCACTACATCAGAATCAACAGAATCCACGTTCCTTCCCTTTTCCACCACGCCAGCTGGTACTGAATCGACCTTCAACCCTTCCTCCTCCACAACAATAGCAACTGAATCGACCTTTCTCTCTTCCACCACTTCTTCACCCACTGAATCGACCTTCCACCCGTCTTCTACCTCTTCAGTAGCCACCGAATCGACCTTCAAGCCCTCCTCCACATCAGAAACTGAATCGACCGCCCTCTCGTCCTCCACCTCAGCAGCAAATGAGTCCACCACACGCCTGTTCTCCACCTCAACAGTAACTGAATCGACCTTCCTCTCCGTTTCCACCACGCCAGAGGGCACTGAATCGACATTCAACTCCTCTTCCACATCAGAAGGAAATGAATCGACATTCTTCGCTTCCTCCACCACGTCAGGACCAACTGAGTCCACCTTCCTTACCTCCTTCACAACAACAGGAAGTGAATCGACTTTCCTAGCCTCTTCCACCACGTCAGCACCCGCTGAATCGACATTCCACCCTCATCCTCCACATCACCAACTGAGTCGACTTTCCTGCCCTCCTCCACCTCAACAGCAACTGAGTCGACCGTCCTCCCTTCCTCCACCACCTCAGCAGCTGCAGAGTCAACGTCTCTCTCCTCCTTTACTACATCAGCAGCAACAGAATCTTCCTTCTTTCCCTCTTCCACCACGTCAGCACTCACTGAATCGACCTTCAATCCCTCATCCTCCACAACAGCAACTGAGTCGACCTTTTTCCAATCCTCCACCTCCTCAGCAGCAGGTGAGTCGACATCACACCACTCCTTCACTACTTCAGCTGCAACTGAGTCCACTTTCCTCCCCTCTTCCACTACATCACAACCCATTGAATCGACCTTCCACTCTTCCTCTACCACTTCAGAAGTCACTGAATCGACCTTCCACCCCTCTTCCACATCAGAAGGAACTGTGTCGACCTTGCTGCCCTCTTTCACTACATCACCAGTGACCGAATCGACCTTCCACACCTCTTCCTCCACATCAGCAGCTGAGTCGACCTCACATCACTCCTTCACTACCTCAGGAGCAACTGAGTCCACTTTCCTCCCATCTTCAACTACATCAGCACACACTGAATCGAGCTTCCACCCCTCCTCCTCCACTTCAGCAACTGATTCGACCTTATTCCAGTCTTCCACTTCCTCAGCAGGTGCTAATTCGACATCATTCCCCTCCTTCACTACATCAGAATCAACAGAATCCACGTTCCTTCCCTCTTCCACCACGCCAGCTGGTACTGAATCGACCTTCAACCCTTCCTCCTACAACCAATAGCAACTGAATCGACCTTTCTCTCTTCCACCACTTCTTCATACCTCTTCAGTAGCCACCGAACCGACCATCAACCCCTCCTCCACATCAGAAACTGCATCGACCGTCTTCTCATCCTCCACCTCAGCAGCAAATGAGTCCACCTCACGCCTGTTCTCCACCTCAACAGAAACTGAATCGACCTTCCTCTCCGTTTCCACCACGCCAGAGGGCACTGCATCGACATTCAACTCTTCTTCCACATCAGAATTAAATGAATCGACCTCTTTCGCTTCCTCCACCACGTCAGGATTAACTGAGTCAACCTTCCTTACCTCCTTCACAACAACAGGAAGTGAGTCGACTTTCCTCGCCTCTTCCACCACGTCAGCACCCGCTGAATCGACCTTCCACCCTTCAACCTCCACGTCCCCAACTGAGTCGACTTTCCTGCCCTCCTCCTCCACATCAATAGCAACTGAATCGACCGTCCTCTCCTCCACCACTTCAGCACCCGCTGAATCGACCTTCCACTCCTCATCCTCCACATCACCAACAGAGCCGACTTTCCTGCCCTTCTCCACCTCAACAGCAACTGAGTCGACCGTCCTCCCTTCCTCCACAACCTCAGCAGCTGCAGAGTCAACGTCTCTCTTCTCCTTCACTACATCAGCAGCAACAGAATCTTCCTTCTTTCCCTCTTCCACCACGTCAGCACTCATTGAATCGACCTTCAATCCCTCATCCTCCACAACAGCAACTGATTCGACCTTTTTTCAATCCACCACCTCCTCAGCAGCAGGTGGTCGCATCACACCCACCCTTCACTACTGGCTGAAACTGAGTCCACTTTCCCCTCTCTTCCCTACATCACAACCCATTGAATCGACTTTCCACTCTTCCTCTACCACTTCAGCAGTCACTAAATCGACCTTCCACCCCTCACCACTCAAAGAACTGTGTCAACCTTGCTGCCCCTTTCACTACTCAGCGTAAACTAATCGACCTCACCCCCAACCCTTAACACCTCAAAACAACTGAGTTCCTTCCTCCCATTTCAACCTCCCCCCCTGAATCGACCTTTCCCAAACCCCCCCTCCACTTCGCAACGAGCGACCTTAATTCCAGCTTCCACTTCCTCACAGGGAATTCACATCATTCCCCCCTTACTACATCAGAATCAACAAATCCACTTCCTTCTCTCTTCCACCACCCCACTCGTACTGAACGACTTTAAAACCCTTCCCCCTCCCATCAGTACAACTAATCAACTCCCTCCCTCCACCACTTCAGCACCCATTGAATCACCTTCCCCCCGTCTCTACCTCTTCAGAGCCACCGAATGACCTTAAACCCCTCCTCCACATCAAAACGAATCGAGCGCCCTCTCGTCCCCCCCTCACAAAAATGACCCCAACCTCACGCCTGTCCTCCGCCTCAACAGCAACTGAATCGACCTTCCTTCCTTTTCCACAAACGCCAAGAGCACGGGCATCGACTTCAACTCTCTTCCACATCAGAAGAAATAATCAACCTCTTTCGCTTCCTCCACCACTCAGGACCAAATGAATCGCCTTCCTTACCTCGTTCACAAAACGGGAAGTGAATCGACCCCGCCCCCCACCACGTCAGCCCCCCCCTTTTAATCGACCTACACCCCCCATCCTCCACCTCCCCAACGAGTCGACTTTCCCCCCCCACCCCACCTCAACAGCAAAGGGTCGACCGCCTCCCTTCCCCCACCACCCGCCTGCAGAGTCAACCCTCTCCTCCTTTACTACATCACAGCAACAGAATCTTCCTTTTTTCCCTCTTCCACCACGTCAGCACTCACAGAATCGACCTTAAACCCTCTCCCCAAAAACCAGCAACTATCGATTTTTTTTCCAATCCTAAAACTCCTCAGCACGGGTGAACGACATCACACCACCCCTTTCATACTTCACTGCAACGAGTCCCTTTCCTCCCCTTTTTTCCACTACATCACAACCCATTGAATCGACCTTCCACTCTTCCTCTCCCCTTTCACACACTAAATCGATTTTTCACCATCTTCCACATCAAAGGAACTGTGTCGCCCTTTGCTCCCTCTTTCACTACGTCACATGATTGAACGACGTTCCACACCTCCCCTTCTCTAAAACATCCGCTGATCGACCCACACCACCCTTCACTACCTCTGCAGCAATGAGTCCATTTTTTCGCCCATCTTCCACTACATTAGCCCCACAGAATCGACCTTCCACCCCTCCTCCTCCACTTCCCGCAACTGAGCCCTTATTCCGTCATCCACTTCCTCAGCAGGTCTGAATCACATCACTCCCCCATTACTACATCGAACAACAGAATCCACGTTCCTCCACCTCCACTACGCCACTGGTACTGAATCGCCCTCAACCCTTCCTCTTCCAATCAAAAAAATGAACCCCCCTTCCTCCCCCCCCACCACTTCACACCCCTGAATCGACTTCCCCCCCTGTCTTCTACCTTTTCAACCACCAACGCCCTTTCAACCCCTCCTCCCATCAGAAACTAAATCACCGCCCTCTCATCCTCCCCTCAGCAGAAAATGAGTCCACCTCACGCCTGTCCTCCACCTCAACAGCAACGAGTCCCCTTCCTCTCCGTTTCCCACCACCCCAGGGGGACTGAATCGATATTAAACTCCTCTTCCACATCAGAGGAAATGAATCGACATTTTTCGCTTCCTCCACCACGTCAGGACCAACTGATCCACCTTTCCTTACCTCTTCACAACAACAGGAAGTGAATCGACTTTCCTCGCCTCTTCCACCACGTCAGCACCCGCTGAATCTACCTTCCACCCTCATCCTCCACTCACAACGATCGACTTCCCTGCTTCCCCACCTCACAGCAACTGAGCCCGACCGCCCTTCCCTTCCTCCACCACCTCAGCACTGCAGAGTCAACCGTCTCTCTCCTCCTTTACTACATCAGCCAACAGAATCCTTCCTTCTTTCCCTCTTCCACCACGCACACTCACTGAATCGCCCTTTTCAATCCCTCATCCTCCACAACAGCAACTGAGTCGACCTTTTCCAACCCTTTCCACCTCCTCAGAAGCAGGTGAGTCGACATCACACCACCCCTTCACTACTTCAGCGCAACTGAGCCCCTTTTCCCCTCCCTTCTTCCACTACATCACAACCCATTGAATCGACCTTCCACTCTTCCTCTACCACTTCAGAAGTCACTGAATCGACCTTCAACCCCTCTTCCACATCAGAAGAACCGTGTCGACCCCTCCCCTCTTTCACTACTTCAGCATGACTGAATCGACTTCCATACCTCTCCTCCTCCTCCACATCACAGCTAAAGTCGACCTCACAACACCACTCCTTCACTACCTCAGCAGCAACTGAGTCCACTTTCCTCACATCTTCAACTACATCAGCACCCACTGAATCGACATTCCACACTGCCTCCTCCACTTCAGCAACTGAAGCCCAAACCTTATTCCAGTCTTCCACTTCCTCAGCAGGTGCTAATTCTACATCATTCCCCTCCTTCACTACATCAGAAACAACTGAATCCACATTCCTCCCGTCTTCCACCACGCCAGCTGTACTGAACGACCTTCAACCCTTCCTCCCACATCAATAGCAACTGAATCGACCTTCCTCTCCTCCACCACTTCAGCACCCACTGAATCGACCTTCCACCTGTCTTCTACCTCTTCAGCAGCCACCGAATCGACCTTCAACCCCTCCTCCACATCAGAAACTGAATCGACCGCCCTCTCATCCTCCACCTCAGCAGCAAATGAGTCCACCTCACGCCTGTCCTCCACCTCAACAGCAACTGAGTCGACCTTCCTCTCCGTTTCCACCACGCCAGAGGGTACTGAATCGACATTAAACTCCTCTTCCACATCAGAGGGAAATGAATCGACATTTTTCGCTTCCTCCACCACGTCAGGACCAACTGAGTCCACCTTCCTTACCTCGTTCACAACAACAGGAAGTGAATCGACTTTCCTCGCCTCTTCCACCACGTCAGCACCCGCTGAATCGACCTTCCACACCCTCATCCTCCACATCACCAACTGAGTCGACTTTCCTGCCCTCCTCCACCTCAACAGCAACTGAGTCGACCGTCCTCCCTTCCTCCACCACCTCAGCAGCTGCAGAGTCAACGTCTCTCTCCTCCTTTACTACATCAGCAGCAACAGAATCTTCCTTCTTTCCCTCTTCCACCACGTCAGCACTCACTGAATCGTCCTTCAATCCCTCATCCTCCACAACAGCAACTGAGTCGACCTTTTTCCAATCCTCCACCTCCTCAGCAGCAGGTGAGTCGACATCACACCACTCCTTCACTACTTCAGCTGCAACTGAGTCCACTTTCCTCCCCTCTTCCACTACATCACAACCCATTGAATCGACCTTCCACTCTTCCTCTACCACTTCAGAAGTCACTGAATCGACCTTCAACCCCTCTTCCACATCAGAAGGAACCGTGTCGACCCTGCTGCCCTCTTTCACTACGTCAGCAGTGACTGAATCGACCTTCCATACCTCCTCCTCCTCCACATCAGCAGCTGAGTCGACCTCACCCCACTCCTTCACTACCTCAGAAGCAACTGAGTCCACTTTCCTCCCATCTTCAACTACATCAGCACCCACTGAATCGACATTCCACACTGCCTCCTCCACTTCAGCAACTGAGTCGACCTTATTCCAGTCTTCCACTTCCTCAGCAGGTGCTAATTCGACATCATTCCCCTCCTTCACTACATCAGAATCAACAGAATCCACGTTTCTTCCCTCTTCAACCACGCCAGCCCGTACTGAAACGACCTTCAACCCTTCCTCCTCCACATCAATAGCAACTGAATCGACCTTCCTCTCCTCCACCACTTCAGCACCCACTGAATCGACCTTCCACCCGTCTTCTACCTCTTCAGTAGCCACCGAATCGACCTTCAACCCCTCCTCCACATCAGAAACTGAATCGACCGTCTTCTCATCCTCCACCTCAGCAGCAAATGAGTCCACCTTACGCCTGTTCTCCACCTCAACAGAAACTGAATCGACCTTCCTCTCCGTTTCCACCACGCCAGAGGGCACTGCTTCGACATTCAACTCTTCTTCCACATCAGAAGGAAATGAATCGACCTCTTTCGCTTCCTCCACCACGTCAGGATTAACTGAGTCGACCTTCCTTACCTCCTTCACAACAACAGGAAGTGAGTCGACTTTCCTCGCCTCTTCCACCACGTCAGCACCCACTGAATCGACCTTCCACCCTTCATCCTCCTCGTCCCCAACTGAGTCGACTTTCCTGCCCTCCTCCTCCTCAACAGCAACTGAGTCGACCTTTTTCCAATCCTCCACCTCCTCAGCAGCAGGTGGGTCGACATCACTCCCCTCCTTCACTACATCAGAATCAACAGAATCCACGTTCCTCCCCTCTTCCACCACGCCAGCTGCTACTGAATCAACCTTTAACCCTTCCTCTTCCACATCTATAGGAAATGAGTCGACCTTCCTCTCCTCCACCACTTCAGCACCCACTAAATCGACCTTCCAACCGTTTTCTACCTCTTCAGTAGCCACCGAATCGACCTTCAACTCCTTCACATCAGAAACACAATCGACCGTCCTCTCGTCCTCCACCTCCTTAGCAAACGAGTCGACCTCACTTCTGTCCTCCTCCACCTCATCAGTAACTGAGTCGACCTTCGTCTCCGTTTCCATCACTCCACAAGGCACCGAATCGACCTTCACCTCCTATTCCACATCAGCAACTGAGTCGACCGTCCTCCCGTCCTCCACCACCTCAGCAGCTGCAGAGTCGACGTCACTCTCCTCCTTTACTACATCAACAGCAACAAAATCTACCTTCTTTCCCTCTTCCACCACGTCAGTACTCACTGAATCGACCTTTCACCCCTCCTCCATCCCCGCAACTGAATCGACCGTCCTCTCGTCCTCCACCCGATCTGAGTCGACCGCACCTCATTTCTCCACCTCAACAGCCAATGAGTCAACCTTCATGCCCTCCTCCACCTCAACAGCAACTGAGTCGACCTTTCTCGCCTTCTCCACTACGTTAGCACCCACTGAATCGACGTTTCATCCCTCGTCCTCCACAACAGCAACTGAGTCGACCGTCCTCCCGCCCTCTACCACCTCAGCAGCAACTGAGTGGACATTCCTCTCCTCCATCACATCAGAACCTACTAAATCGACCTTTCACCCTTCCTCTACCATTTCTGGAGCCACTGACTCGACCTTGTATCTCTCCTCCACATCAGCAACTGAGTCGACCTTCTTTCCCTCTTCCAATACTTTAGCAACAAGCGAGTCGACCTATTTTCCCTCCAACACAACATTAGCCACTGAATCGACAATCCTACCCACCTACACTAATCCATACACAGTCTCTGCCACCACTAATCCAATCACTATCCTCTCCTCCACCACCACTGCAGTCACCCTCCCTTCCACCACCATTAATCCAATTACTCTCCCCTCCTCCACCACCACTAATCCAATCACCCTCTCCTCTACCACCACAAATCCAACTACCTTCTCAACCATCAGAACAACTAATTCAACTTTTCTCCCCTCCACCACAACCACCCCATCCTCCACCACTACTACAGGAGCTACCCTCCCCTCTAACACAACGACCACCACTACAACAACAGCCTCCTCCACCACAACTACCACTAAACTCACCACTGGACTGGTCACCACAACAACTACTACGTCAACACGGCCCAGTCCGACATCGACATCGACTGGTGTTCCACCTGAGACCACGACGGTTCCTTCTGCCTGTAATGAAGAGTACCTTCACGAAGTGGAAATCAACCCCAACGTGAACCCTGTCATCTCTGGTTGCAATGTTACCATGTTCGAACGCTGCCAGAGAGATGTTGACGGTCAGCCTCGTTGTCTCTGTCTTTCTGGCTACCAGAAGACATTGTGGGATCCCGATTGCAAAGGTCAGTCTACCTTATTACTAAGTGTGTCTCGTGATAAAACATTTGCACCTTTGTATTATGTTAATATTTTCTTGGAGGTTAACGTGTTGTGTGGTTGTGATGGCAGAGATAAAGCAGCACAAGAGCCAGGTGACCATGCAGAACAAGCAGTGGAGCCTCGACTACTGCAACACCACCACCAACACCTACCTCACACTCCTCCATAACATGCAGCAACTGGTGAGTGTACTCTGTGACTGGTGTTAGTGTGGGGGGGGGGAAGAAGGGGGGAGTTAGAAGTAACTCTAGCACAGAGGTATATTCGAGATTGCGGAATACAAAATAATACATAAAGGTCTAGGTAGCGTGCTCACAAGGTCACTCAGATCCATTCGTGTACACATACATGATGTTATATTCATAGGGAAGCGTTAATCCTTAGGGATCATACACAGCGTGTGAAATTAATGTCTCCAGGTGGGCTTTAGTGCTCTAGTATGCTATAATACCACCATTTTTAATTGTTACTTACAAACCCCAATACAAATGAGAACTTTTATTTGGATAAGACACACGAGTACTGAAAGTTTGAAGCTGATATAATAAGACATTCTCAGAAAATCGCACGAAAATCAGTTTGCTCACCAATGTTGACAAATTGAAACGAATGATTGTATAGCCCTAAACCAATTCAACTTTCCAATAGTGTGAATTTGACACCGATCAGAAGAGACATTGTCCAGTTAATCCAAAGAAACTAATAATATCCACTTTTAATTAAAAAAGTCCTTTACGTAGCCTAAATCTAAAGTGACTCTTACTCTAAGTAAGCTACACCAGTGCTTGAAATTTTAAGCCGTCCAGAACTGTGAAGGCTTACTCAGCCCTGTAACAACTTCAGACAGTATTACCAAGGCTGGCTCCTCCTCAGGAAAATTAATGAATAGAAAAAGAAATAATAACAGACAAACATAAACACTTTATTATATAGAAAATATAAAATATAAAACACTTAAATATGAAATATTAATCCTACATTAAAGAAAATGAAAAATGAAAAATATAAATAACTGAATTCAATGCTAATATATATAGGGGTGTCTGGTGTTGATGACACTGTGTTGTTGAAATCGTAGCCGTTGCTGATGATGGGGGGGGGGGGGGGTCGCAGGTGTTGGTTACGACCCACTGGCTAGTTTTTCACAGTATAGCCGTGAGTATTTTGTCCGATGACAGGAAAGCAGGTTCTTTACCACTGCAATGATGAGGGGTTATGTCCTGCAATTTCGTACAGGTGCACAGGTAATTAATCCAAAAAGGGGAAGTCTCAGGACTTTTGCCCATCTCCATCAGTTTTCCTCGTTGATTGGCAGGTGACCCTCTCTGTCATCCAAGCTGGAAAGATAGACAGGTTACCCACTGCTTAAGAAATCACTCTCCATGATAAGTACAATACCTAAAAGTGTGGTGTTTATTACAACAGTCAACTTAGAGCAAGACTAAAAGGGGACTAAGTTTATTTTTGGTCAAAAAGTGAAGCTTTAAACCCAATAAATCCACTAGAATACAAGGCAGGCATGTACTTACAGTAGTGCTGGGAGCTGTGAGTCTAGTGATTATGTTTGGATCGGGCCCCACACGTCACCTTTCGGGGGGCTGGGGGAAGAAAGGGGGGGAAGGGATAGCAGGAGCTAGATGACCCCACCTTAACAAGCAGCCCGGGAGTCAAACTATCACTTTAGGGGTGGGGGAAAAAAGGCAGGATAGGGGGAGCTTGACTTACCCTACCTTAACAAGTTAGCCGGCAATGAAACTGTTGTTACTATATACTCCCTCGCTACTCCCATCTATTGAACTTTTCCCACCCCCCCATACCAAGACTTATAGTCAAGGAGTATTTAAAAAGAATAGGCGAGGAAAAAGTTCTAACCCTGTGGAAGTCGCGTAAGGCAAGAAATCTTCTACTGACTGGTCACGACTTAACCAGTCAGAGAAATAATTGGATGAACCATTGATATACACAATATGGAACTTAAAAGCCTGGAGTGCCAATTTCCACCTCAAGAGGCGACTGTGGTTCCCTTAAAAGTCTCTAGGTATATCAAAGGTTTGTGGTCCGTTTCTAAAATGAATTCTTTTCCCAGCAAATAAAATTTAAGTTTGGAGATACCCCACACAAGGGCCAAACATTCCTTTTCTATGGTGGAGTATCTCGTTTCTGCGGGAAGGAGTTTCCGGCTTAGGAAGCATACAGGGAAGGGAGTACCATCATGGTATTGTAGTAACATGCACCTAAGCCAGTATTGGAGGCATCAGTTCTTAAACAAATGTTTTATTAATATCTGGAATCTTAAGTATAGGGTCCTTCGAAAAGATACTTTTAATCTCATTAAACTTTTCCCGAGCTACGTCAGAAAGTTCAAGAGGTTCCTTCACAGACTTTTTAAGGAAGTCAGGTAAGATGCCTGTAAGATCAGTAAGGTTCGGGATAAAACCGTGCATAAAATTTACAGAACCAAGAAAGCTATGCATGGCTTCTTGGTTTTGGGGAATTTAAATTCAAATAAAGCTTTGATCTTACTGGGGAGAGGCTGCAGAAAGCTATTAGAAAGTATCAGTCCAAGATATCTAATCTTGTTATACCCAAGGAAGCATTTCTTCGGCTTGGCAGTGAGGCCATGTGAGCGTAACCTACACAAAACTGATGTTAATGTTTGGATATGTTCGCCCCACGTGGATGTCATTACATAAATGTTATCAAAATAAATTGAAACATTTGGCATATTACCCAAGACCTTTCTCATCAGTCTCACATAGGTAGCACAGGCAGTTACCAAACCGAAGGGCATAGTTCTATATTGCATCAGTCCTTGGTGTGTAGGAAAAGCGGTGTACTGCTTAGAAGAAGTATCTAACATTACTTGATGATATGCCTGCGCAATATCAATCTCTGAAAAGAAGGAAGCGTCATAAAATTTGTGTAGATCGCTATCTATTAAGGGCATAGGCTCAGCATCCCACGAGTTATGCATTAAGGCCTCTGAAGTCAATGCAAGTCTATATGAATTATCTCCTTCTTAACCATGACTACTGGTGAACAATATGAAGATACTGAAGGTTCAATGATCTTTAGTTTTAATAATTTGTCTACCTCTCGGTCAAATGCATCCCTAAGGTGAACTGGAACTGGGTATAATTTTCGTTTGATAGGATTGCCTGTCACTAAGTCAATCTTATGGACTACCGTGGAGGTAGCACCTGGAATATCAGTAAAGACGTCTGAAAAGTTACTCACACATTGAAGTAGTTCATGTCTCTTATGGCATCCAAAGATTCATTAATATTAATGTTGGTTGCATCGAGTGGTCAAGAGTCACCAAGTCATGTAGTTCTTCATCATAGTCTAAGTTAGAGGTGTCAATTACGCACACCTTACATTCTTCAGTTGTTTTATCAAGTTCGTGTAGAAAAACTAAGTCAAAGTTATTAAGGCAGTTAACGAATTTCTTCGGTAATTTCTTAAGGATGTTGATATGATAAAGCTTAGGTTTCCCCTTGACTTCTATGAGGTAGTCAACTTTCCCACAAATTTTTAATACTTTATATATGGACCTTTCCATGCTACTAATAATTTATTTGACTTGATCGGCAAAAGTACAAGAACTTCATCCCCTACTTTAAAACTTCTCCTCTGACTTTTGGAATCAAAATAGGTTTTGTATGGTCCATTGACAAGTGTAAGTTTTTCGAAACTATGTCAGAGGTCTCCTCAAGTTTGGATCTAAGGTCAAGGAGAAACTGGTAAGAAGACTGAACCTCAGCATTTACCTCCTCATTAGTCCATAAGTCATGAAGGATGGACATGGGCCTCTGGCCTGTTTACCATAGAGAAGTTCAAAAGGTGAAAACCCAAGAGTCACTGGGAACTTCTCTCATGGCAAACAAAGCACAGGGTAGGTAACGATGCCACTCTTTAGGTTCAAGGGAGCAAAGTTTCCTTAAAATTGACTTTAGAATCGAATGCTGGCACTCAATCCTCCCATTACAGCTGGGATGATAGGGTGTGGTGAGAGAGGGCTTCACTCCCAGAAGTTGGTATAGATGTTGCATTAAGTCAGATGTGAATTGTGTCCCACGGTCAGACAAAATTTCTCTAGGGATGCCCACTCTGGAGAAGATGGACAAAAGGACTTCAGCCACCTCTGCAGCAGTTATGGTTTTTAAGGGAACGGCTTCAGGGAAGCTCGAAGCATAATCAACTAATGTTAATATATATCTATGTCCCCCAGATGAAAGTGGAGCTAAAGGACCAACGATATCAATAGCTACTCTTTCAAAAGGTACCGTAAAGACTGGCATTTTGACCATAGGTACTCGCCGGGTACCTCGGGAGGATGACAGTTGGCAAACTTCACAAGATCTACAATAGGTAGTGACATCTGAGGACATTTTTGGCCAAAAATAGGTTTCCCTAATTTTATTTAAGGTTTTACGATGCGAGAAATGTCCGGCCACTGGCAGGTCATGAGCCATTTTAAGAGCAGTCTCTCTGCACTGACTTGGAACAACTAAGATGGAATAGTCTATCTCATCTGAATTTAATTTGAATACCGACTTGTACAAGATACCTTTTATATATTCAAATTTATATGAAAAGTTTTTCCTTTGGATAACTTGATTTTGTTTAGCGGCATTAAGGCAATTCTGAAGAGAAGGGCAATTACGTTGTAAATTGACAAAGGAGTCCTTCGATACATCTAAAGGCTTAAAGTCAGGGAAAATTAAAGAATGGACAGTAGGAGAAGCCTGGGCTTTGGTCTGAGCCCTAGTCAAGACATTTATGGTATCGGAGGCGATATCTTCACTTTCATCTAACAAGTGAACCGGTGATCCTACTACCTCGCTTTCGAGAGTAGCATCAATGTTTTTTAATCCCACATGAATCTCATGAGACATTGTCTCATCTGAACTTTCGAGGGGCTTCTCTGACTCTACAGGAAGAGGATCTGAAACACTTATGTCCATCTTTGGTGATGAAAGGTCAACCTCAGAAGGAAGAATGGCACCTTTTACATTACCTATTAGTACGGAGCAAGAAGTGATGGGAGCTAGTATGGCTTCAGACCAACCTGTGAACCATTTAGACCTAATGTAACAACGGATGGTAGGAAAAGTGTCCGTACGGCCCAAGTAGTCTGAAAGTATAGCAGAGGAATGAGTTTCTTTAAGGTTAGGGAACA